TAGGTCTATCATAAATAATACACTAAAGATTGCTAATAAAATAAGCATTTATATATACAGCCAGTTAATACAGAAAGTCTCAAACTTATAAAATTACTAGATACAATTTAAAGGCCTCCGTTTCATTGAGACGCCCTGTATTGCGCCCAACATGCATTTGCGTGCCAATCCTGGGCATTTGGACTAAATGAGAAAAGGTAACACTGTGTAACTAAAAGTAAAATTTCAATAAATAACTTCGCAAATGTGTGACTTGTTCAGAATGATTTGATAAATATTATCAAAACTGCTTCGCAAGAAAACATTCGAAAACTGAAAGCGTCCGAGAACTTAACAAAATATATTTCCATCGAATCCAGTTAGCCTTTCACGAAAAAGTCTCTCGCCACTGTTTCGTTTCCTAATGGCTGCCTTTGATATCGAGGGAGAAAATCCGTAGTTTTTCTCGTCCCGAGATTTTCCAGCGTTACGCCGCCTGGGCCGGAAGCGGAAATTTCCTGCTGCAAGAAAACCTGGAACAATCTCGCTGCTTGATGGCGTCCATCACTTCCTGGAGGTGATGGGATACGGACTGGGCCATATCGCTATGTAAGCTAAAAGAAATGAATCCAGTTCAAGGGGCATCCATTAAAAAAAAACATCAAAATCACTTCCACCAATTGATTATTTGCTTAATCTATTCTACACGTCAAATAAGCCGCAAGTGAAAGTAAAATTATTATTCTGATTGAATTTGAATTGCCGACAGCGTTCAACCAACAGTCTTCTTTTTGGTGTTGCCGACATCGGAATGTGGTGTATTACGGAAGAAACAGTGAGAATTTACTTTCTTCATATGCGAACTGACCACACCTGTCGTCGCAAACAAACCGTTTATACCGTTCAAGTTAATCCCATAGCGTCAAGTCCGGTTCGGAGGCCGGCGTATAGAGTTCCGCCCAATATCTTAGGGCAATTCTAGCAATGGAAAACTTCCATTTTAGGTTACGAATTATTATCACAATATAGAAAGTGCTATGAGCAATCCGAAAACTGAGCCAATCGAATCCGGTAATCTCGGAGGCCATCGCTGCATAATCCTAAGGAATTTATTACGTGCCTAGTTGGAATAATTTGGGAGATTAGGATTAATGCCGATTGTTACATAATTCTTTGCATACCTACTTGTTGTTTCCTGATTTTCACTTTTTCACTTTCGTGTGCAAGTATTTGCACAATTTGTCTTTTGGCGATTCTCGCATTTTAATTGCTTGTTTTCATTAACTATGTAAAATGACTGAATGAATATTAAAATCCCTAATTTCTATCTATGGATGAAGGAAATGTTTAAAATCTTTAATTAATTAAAATAATTTTGCGACATTTCGCGGAAATTTTGGAATTAAAAGAAGATTTTGCATTAAATTAGATCCCCCTCTTTCAAGCAGCTTTCTCAATAACACTTTTTGTTAATTTCAATAATGAATGAACACATCGCGAAGGATTTCCTTCAGTTTGTCCAATTTTTTAATTGCTTTAACTATAAACTGTTTCTGAAAAGTTTCATCAAATATCGGCCCTACGATCAGCAACAGTTTTCCCTACAAAAATGTATAAACCTTGACTCGATTTTTCATGGATGTTCTACTGCATAACATTCGAACCGTATTTTCATCATTCTTTTAAGCGCTCCTTGCACCTGAATTGCCCTAAACATCTAGTAGTTAGCCCTCCTACAAGTAGTAAAAGTTAATTAAAAAACGATTGGATTTATATTTGCCCGCATTAAACACCAAATCGCTTGATCGTACTCTTGAACTTGACTGTCTTGTGAAAACTTTCGTTGGCCTAGATGCGGTTGCTTGACCTTAACTCACGATGCATTTTTATGTGCGAAAAGGCCACTTTCTACCATGCACCAACTAAATGCATGCATTAATTAGCGATTACTCACGAAGCCACCAGTCGATTCATTTTCTTTTCCATAAATACTGATTCGTCTGGATGCTGCTGAAGCATCACCTGGCAAAATATTTGCTTGGAACAGGGCGTATCGGTCCAGAAGTCTGGATTCATTAATCCGCTGAACTTGCCCGACTTCTCTGCTTGGTCGGTCAGCTGCAAAGAGTCATCTTCAATCAGAAGACTTCTTCGGAACCTTTGATGAAGCTCCTCGGCGACACTAGAAGGAGTTTTTCACACTGGGTTTGAGGAAAAGCGCCAGTTCCTTACCGGTTGGGTTCACCGTCCTTTCGCGGCTCCTCCATTAAAAAAACAATGTTGTTCGGATCGATGCCTTGTAGAGCTCTGAGTTGGTTCTGATCTAAGCCTTGTAATGCCCGCATGCTTTCCACTGGGCTGAAGAACCGCCCCATTGCAGCCGCCCCCAAACCAAGTGCTGCTCCGCCTGCCACCAGGCCTTGAAAACAACCATCGCTTGACTTAGTTCTGGTTATTCCAAAACAGTTGAACCCTTACCAAGTGCGGGCAGAATCACAGACGTGCCAGCAACCGGAGCTATTAAACCCACTTTATCTTCGGCTCTTTGCACATTTCCTCCACTGAAGCCCAAATTGTGGGAAATCTTCTGGGTGGCTTCGACCAACGGCTCAAACACTGGGCGAGTCAGTCGCTGCATTTTCTGAATGCTGTTTTGCACGTTGTCTTTAATGCTTTCAGTGATCTTCATCTAGAAATAGTATCCAGGCGTTTATTTCCGAAACGAAAGGAAGTGACGTGGTTGTTGTGTGTTGTGTGAAGGAGTTGTAAGTGCTCTAAACCGTCTCAAATCAGCTAAAAAGTTTAGTGAGCAACAGTCAATAGAGTTCTAGAGTGGTATTGAAGACTTTCACACACGGGCGGATCCAGGGGGGGTCGTGACCCTCATGTATTGGGCAAAAAAAGCAGCATCATGTTTAAGTGGGTTTTGCAACTCAAAGAACACGCAAATCTAAACCTTCTTGAAATCAATACTTTTTTGAGAAAACTGCCTACATTTCCTTATGGATGATTCACTTTTTAAAAGCTCATTTATTTCTCTCTGAAATGATATAAAGAATGAGCGTTCTTGCTTCAGTTGCTTCCGATAAATGACCAAAAACGGGACGGAAAACATGAAATTTTGGCATAATCTTGCACCTAAGTGACTGATATTTAAATTTCGCTTTCTGGCTGAAAACTGCTCGGATTTCCTCACTCATGTTTATATAAATGAATCGAATTATCAATTATCTATCCAACGATGCCAAAACGAATTCTGTGGCTCAAATGGAGCATGGGAAACTTCTAAAAAAGAAGAGTCATGTTTGAGTCGATTCACACGATCGAAAAACAGGCAAATTTAAAACATCTTGAAGTCAAGACTTTTTTGAGAAACCTGCCAACATTTCCTTATCGATGGTTCATTTTCTAAAAAGGCAATTTATCTCAATAGAATGATGTAAAAACGAGGCTTTTTGCTCAATTGGCTTCCGAGAAATGAGCAAAAACGGGACAGAAAACATGAAATTTTGGCATAATCTTGCAGCTGTGACGCTGACACAATTTTGTACGAAACGACACAATTTTGTAAATACTTCCAGAATATAAAATCCGTGGAGGCATTTGTATGTGAAGTTCATAATATAATAATTTTTGGAAAAAATTCTCACCCAAAATGGCTGTTCGGGTCTGGGCTTGATATAGTAAGTGTTGAACGGGTAGTTCAGAACGTCCTTCTTGTAGAAGCTCAGACTGTTACTGTCTGAGTCTGAGTAGTATCGGTTTTGCTGCTGCCTTCCAGTGTTAACGTCTCCATAAGCTGTGTAGTCTTTTTCCCTGCATAAAAAATTAATGTTAAACGCCTTTTTTAAGTTTAATTCATAATTCGCATAAAACGAACTGTGCAATCAATTCTCCTCTAATGACGAGTATTTGCGACTAATTTCAATAGGATTATAAGGAAAAAATTGAAGAAGAAAATTTGTTATTACCTCTAAAAACATGTCGGTATCTTGTGCATAATATATTAGATAACTGTTCTCTGGTCTAAATTGCAATTTTTGAAAAGTGCTTTTTCTTCATTGTCAGTTTCAATTTGATTCTCACATCGTTTATATTAAGAATTAAAAGTTTTATTTTCAACAGAAACCAACACTATTTAAGCACTGGTTTCTGCTAAGCTTACTAGAAGATTGCCATTCAGTGGGATCGACCCAGCTTTTTTCAAGTGTCTGTATTTAATAATTCGTATCATTCTTCCCATGGAAACATCCATGTTCATTAATGTGTTTTAGCTTTCGTAGCTCGTTTCTAAATTTCCATGTTCAAGATAAGTCTTAGAATCAAATTACCACGCACAAAAGTCTCTTATTCTATTCATTTTTGTCGGTTTCTTCATTAGCTTTTTGTTGCGTTTTTTCATACTATGTACTTGATTTGATGTCAATTTTCTACTGGAGTTACGAAAAACGAAGAAATCCACTGAACGTTTTGTTTTTAACCTTCTTTTTGCTAATCAATCTGAAGTCGCTATTAGCAATTTTCCTAATTTTACAACAGAGTTTCACAATCGTTCATCCATAGGCTTACCTATAAGAGTCCCGGACAACTCCAGTCCCATAGTCATCCTCTTCATTGGTCACTTTGGCTGGCTGCACTCCCAGCTCTGGATGCGCGTACTGAAGAACCGGAGTGCGAACTCCTTCGTTAAAATTCACCGGGCTTAACTTCGTAGCACTGGACAAAGAATTTTCTATGACTAAACTGTTAAACTCTCGTATGGAAGCTTACCTTGGAGGGCTGTACATTTCCGAAGGTGGATAGTATTCTTGGCTGGATGGATAAGTCAGCATTCTCCTCTGAAACTGGTTGTTGGGGTTTTGAGTGGACTCATAACTGCTCGAGTACGGATAGTCCTGATTTTTTTGGGCATTATCAAAGTAATTCTGTTGGCCGCTGGTTTCATATGCCCGATACTTTCTTTGGCTGTTCTTCTTTGCTTCCTTTGCGTTGATTTCTTTGATGTAATCGACGAACTTTATTTTAGCCGGCGCTTTGTTGTCTTCTTTGGTAAAGGGCCCTAAGCCCGCTAAATAAATTGTTGGATTAGATTAAGCATTGTTAAACAAATAGAGCCTCCTACCGGAATAGCTGAATTTAGTAAATTTGCCTTCATCACTCTCCTTAAGAGGGCGTTCGGACGATATGTTGTCCTTAACAGTATAAGGGCCTGCAGAATGTTGTCTTTCCTGGGAGGGTTTGAAGTTATCTTCCTTCGAGAACGGCCCCAGAGATTTGTGCTCATCTTTGTCAGGTACTGCTTGGCTCGCATACACCAGCTCTCCTACTGGAATGGCTGCAGGAGGCTTGTAGCCTTTCTCATAGGGCACTAGTTCGCCATTTATTACTCTAAAGTGGAATTCAGTTAGAAGGTTTTTACGGAGTAGAGGGAAGTTGTGTTCTACCTGGCATTCCTCCAGGTCTTGGTATCTGACGGATCATCCGGAACTCGGACTCCATGGATAACAGGAATGCCATCACTATCCAGTTGAAGAACGGATCGACCGCGCTTCCTGTCGGAGTTTTTGACGAAAACCTCACTGGATCGGATATTTACCGGCTTTGGAATCACATGAGGAATTCTGGAAAGGATTCCAGTTTTTATGAACTCTGCGTGTTAGTTACATTTATTATCCAAACCGCTGAGCTGATTTGTATGAAATTACGCCTGACGCCCGATTAAATGATTAAGCAACATTTCGCTTTCTGGGTCAAAACCACTCGAATCTCCTCACTAGTGTTGTTATGACTGAATCGAATTTTCAATTCTCTTTACAACGATGCTAAAGCGAATTATGTGGCTCAAATGGGGCCTGAGAAACTTCTAAAAAAGCAGCGGCATGTTTGAGTCGATTTTGCAACTCAAAAAAAAACACGCAAATCTAAAACTTTTTCAAATCAAGACTTTTTTGAGAAAACTGCGAACATTTCCTTATCGATGGTTCACTTTCTAAAAAGGTCATTTAGATCTCTCTAGAATGAGGTAAATTTTGCTTCCGAGAAATGAGCAAAAACGGGACGGCAAACATGAAATTTAGACATAATCTTGCACCTAAGTGTCTGATATTCAAATTTTGCTTTCTGGGTCAAAACTACTCGAATTTCTTCACTCACGAAAAAAATCTTCTGAAGGGCAAAGAAAGCAAATTTTCCGTAGTAAAACCTTACAAAAGCCTCCATATTTCCACACCCGAATCAAACGCTTTAAACAGATGAAAAAACATACCTGTCGCTGTCGATAACATTTCCTAATCCACTGTTAACAGTTCGAAAATCGCTGGCATTCTTCACCACCGCAATAGAGTCCAGTCTGACCAGCTGCTGAGGTTGATAGTAAATTTGAGACAATGGAATCCAGTTGGGGACGAACTTAGGCGTGGAAGAATTGGGACCAGTTGAAAGTTCCTGCACATCTTTTTCCAAGTAGTTGCTATAAGGATTTAATCCAAGCCTTTTGTAGGTTCTGTAAATGTTCGACGGAGGGTTTGTGATAAACCTTCTGGAATCATCGCTGAAATAATCGAAAATTACAGCAAATCTCCAGTAGTTTTCAGATAATTTGAAGTACCTTTGGTGGATTTGATCATTGTTTGAGCTGCCGATTTCCACAAAACGGCTTTGTGCCAAATTCCCAGCGCTGCTTTCTGGATTAGATCGATCCTTTCGCTTAACAATTAGCTGGGCAACATTTCCGTCCCGAGTCATCACGTTTAAAGTTTGGATGCTTTCTGGATTCAAACTTCTGGATACTTTCAGCTCAGTTCTCGTGTGAAAAGGCGCAGTTTTCTTTTGGATTTCTTCACCCCATGACAGTGTAACCACAAGGGCTAGTGGAAGTATCAGCTGGAAGAACAGAGAAACATTGATATTTAAATTAACTGCTTAAATAAAGTGAACATCTGTAAAATCTAGAACATTCTCTCTTGGCTGTTGATTAATTACGGCCCTGGTTCGATACGAAAAAAAATGTAATTAACAGCCGAAATCTTGCGTTCTAATTTTTCATCTATAATTTTCCAATCGGGAGCATCTGTTAGTGATGTATACATTGAAGGCTGCATCGGCCAAATAAAGAAAGTTTGATGATGGACTCGGCAGAGTCAATAACTCGCTCATCGCCTACTTTTAATACTTTCACCTGCAGGAGTATTCGGCTAATCACGGTATGTTAAAAAACGTTACCTTAGGTGTCTTATTCAACTCATTACACACCTGTGATTCGTGTTACACACTAATTCTTCGGCACTAAGCATTGTTTTTTTCAAGCAGGTCGAAGGTGTTTTGCCACCAAGACGAGCTAAGTGGATTTCGTCTAATGAAGAAAGTAACTAACGTACTGAGTCTTGATATTATGTGGTTTCCAATTTCTAATTTGCAGAAGAATATTGGTAAACACCATCGAAAAGCGTTTTTATTGGCCCCATATGGTGTTCTACCAATTAGCACATTCTTTCACGGATTCGGTGTCGTTACATATTTCATGTCTGCTTTCGATTTCTTTGAGTGTTTGATCCACGACTAAGTTAACTAGCTGGTTCATGAAATGTCCAATAAATCTCTTTTCTGGTCAGCCATTGTCTTTTCTTCTAAGTTCTCATCTAATCTTATCTTCTTAGTGTTCCAAATTTTAGTTCTTAAAAGTATTGAGATATTTGAGTATCCACATTAGAAAATTGAAGAAATTTTGCTGTAAAATGTTAAATGATTTTTGAAGAACGTTGATTTACTGCAATAAATCTTTACTATAAATGTATGCAAAATATGGTGAACCAGCATGGTTCACAAACCAACCATGGTATTTGTAAAAATTTCAAACCAACCATGGTATTTGATCTACGACTAGGAAACTGGATAGTTAATAAAATCGCTTTTCCGGTACGGCACTTTTTAATTTTGCCTTATTTAAGTTTTTCGCATTATTGAGATATTTGAGCAGAATGCACATTAGAAAATTGAAGAAATCTGGCCTCAAACCATGATCAATTTTGTTAGAAAACACTCTAAAGAATGTTATTGTACAATAACTTGACCATAAATGTATGCAAAATATGGTTAAATCGCTAAATTATCTACAAGCGTAGTTTTATTTTCAAAAACGTCCCTTAGAGTTGAAATGAGCGAAGACCGACAAGTCGGAATTTTGAACAGTAATAAATAACATTCCCTTTATGCAACATTATTTAATTTGAGCAGAAAAAACATTTCTAATCAAAATATTTGAACATGATCTTGGATTTATGTCCTTTCGGAAAGTTCAATTCAAATTTGTGCTCAAGTCCGAAACTCCGACAAAACGACGACTTTAAGCTGACATTTTTAACTTTAAATACGAAAATTCCACAGCCATCTCAACATTTACAGTTCACACAAATTTTCACTTCAATTTATGCACACGAACTTAAGAACTCCCACTGATATAGCACTGAAAAGTTATAACAGAAAACTTCCGTTTTGTTCTTTACATTTAATTTTATACCCGCAATGTGGATTTAAAAATATGAAATCTCAGTTAGGCGCAAAAATTCAACTGTGATTGTGGAATTTCTTCTCAAAATTTCAATCAATTTTCGATTTGAAATTATAACTTTAAACTGGGAAGTTTTCATCAACTTATCATTTAGGGCTCAACATTTTAAGTCTAAGGACCAAACCTTTTCAACTCAAAATTTTTACTCACTCGACCCACTACATTATATTGAATTAACATAATTTAAACCTTTAAAATCGACATTTCAAATTCAAACGCTTCAAGAATGCAACCTCCAGTTTCTAAATTGATCAAATTTATAGATAAAAAGTCAAGTTTCCAACTCAAAATTCAGCCACAGACATTTACGTTAACTGGAAAGTTAGAATTGGGAAACGAATTTTCTATTGACAACTTAAATGGTCAAAACTTCTACATCTTCAATGATAATCCAACTTTGCAAAATAAATTCTAAATTTAAACTATAAAGTTTTACTTAAAAGACGACACTCTTAATTTTTGTACTGGAAATTTCAGGTTTATTCATAAAATTCCAGCTTGAGCTTCAAAGGTTTAACTTCAGCCACAAAAATGACGCTCTTAGTTGTCCAAAACCCCAACTCCAACACCTGCCTGAAATTTCCATCTCAAATCAACTAATGAAACTTTCGATTTGAGATTTTGACGCTGAATGCGAAATTCGAACTTTAGATTTGAAGCCTTCCAGAAAAGTAGAGAGGAAAAATCAAGATAATTTGAAATTAAAACCGAATATCTTTATTTCAAACTCAATGCTACAAATTTTAGTTGCTAATTCGGCTTTGAGGCTCAAAATGCCGACTTGGAGCTTCGACTCGATATAAATATCGGCTTCAAAACGAAGATTCCAACTTCAAACTCAAAGTTTCGAGTTCACATCTAACCTTTGAAATTCAGGCGGAAACTGAAAGTCAAACTTAAGCGAGATTTTTCTACAACAAACACAAACTTTTTATTTGTTATTTGGGACTCAAAAATTCGCCTCACTCATTCCCTTTTTGATCCATGAAAATGAAATTCTAACACAAAATTCCCACTTTCAATTGAAAATTGCGACCAAATTTACCAGAAGTCTTAGAATCAAGAAGGTAATATGAGTTCTTGCCATTTAAACCATTGCGGAGACTAAGCGATATTTTCCCTCAAATTGTCAATTAGCAACTAAAATTTCGCATCCAAATTCGAAATTGTCTGCATTAGCTCTTTGTAGTATTTCATTTGCCTCTTGAAATGTGTGCTTTAATAATAAAACTAGCCGAAAACCAAAGAAAATCAACTAATGCTCCACAGATCTGAAAAATGCTGATTTTACACCCATTGAAAGCAATTTTACATTCAATAATCTCTTTGTTCCGATGCAATCAGGTTGCGTTGAATTGTTACTGAAACACCAAAAATGATCCCACCATGAAAGTATAATTGATGAATGTGTTGTAGTACCACTTAGAAAAAAATTGGAGTGGAAATAGATTAGATGCGAACACACATTTTGATCTAGTTCTTTACAGTGCAGAACAAAAATAGAAGTCATTAGGTAAATAGTGGATGATTGTAAATGCTGCAAATAATTGTTAATGCGTTTGTCCCATCCGGTTAAGTACTTGATTGCAGGTTACTATCAGTTGAACTAGGTTTATGTGCTACTTATGCAACAAATCGCTCATTTAGTCATTAGTGGGTTTAATTTATAAATTTTTATCCAGAATTGTGAAAAACTGCTCAGTCTTGGTACGCATAACATGTTTATTGAACAAATAAAATTATAGTTGTAGATTTATGCACTTGCAACATCAAACATTCTTTAGCCTTGTGCAGGTATCTATTAAAGGCTTGTGACATTTCTTGCTGAATACTTATAGAAAGACATTTCATTTAAATGCATTGCAATCAGTTCAGTTGCCTTCGGTATTCCTTAGTATTTCTCTAGAAGCTGGCTGAATTTACAAAATTCTACAGGATTTTTCAATTCTGCACGTGTCTTGCGATCTATCTAATCAGTCAAAGAGAGCCAGATTTTCTAACAATTAAAGCGCAAAAAAGAACATAGTTTCTTAGGAACGTTAACGTGTACTTTTATTTGGGAGTTTAATGCATTTTTAATTCATATTTATTTGCTTTTGTTTGTTTGCCAATTTTCTATAACAAGGCTTCAACTATAACAGCTCTAACTATAACAGCTCCAGGCTATAACACGAATGCATGAAAATAAACGAATGCAAAAAAATGTTTAAATATAAATGCTGTTTCTGTAAAAGCATGCTTTCTTAAGCTCAATTTTCTCCACCATTCCAGACAGATAACTTCTATAAACGAAAAGGAAAATATTAAGATAATGGTCTGGAAGAAAGAGAAAGTTCTAGGAAAAAACCGGCTGATAATGTATGTACAAACTTCAAAGCGCGTTTCGTGTCCATCTTAATCAGCGCATAAACGAAAAACAGTATCCCATTCCTAATTCTAATAAATTTAATTTAAGCAAATCTGCGTCTTCCGCCTTTCATAAAACCGAATTACATACGTGCTCGTGGGCTCTCTGTTCGAATGCAGTAAAAAATTTCAATTTTCAGACATTAAACGAACAACAAAACGATGTGTAGCCGATTTTTGGAATTGTTAATGATGAATAAAAGGAGGTCGTCCGAACAATATTCAGTAGCAAACGGCTAAGTGTTTTATTTTAGAAAAATATTTGTTTATGTGGTTGTTGCTGATGTTCTTGGGCAGCTAATTGCTGAAGATTTCCACTGGAAAATGCAAGAACAACGTGCGACGCAAGCGCCACACAACTTAGGAATCATGAAGAACAAAGAGTCGATGCCTTTGAAACAGCGAGGAAAAATCGTATCCAAGGGCTACAAGAACTGTTCAACTACGACCTAGAAGACAATGAAAAAGGGCGTAAAAAGTCAGAGGAAGCTTTAAACGGTGCATAAAAGGTCATTCTCCAAACCTCTTTCGATAATGCAAACTTCAAAAGGATACAAGTTGCCAAGCAAAATTGAGCCTATTTTGATTCCTTTCGATCTTCGGTAGATGATGGATTCTATAGAGCCAATGTATATTTTTCCTATTTATAACAAAGTTTCATTTTTCATTAAATAATGAAATTTCTAATTAGAAATCCATACTTCGAAACTGAAGTCCAACACGAAATGATGTGAGGTAAACTGACTAATTAATCTTTTTCGGTAATGTTTTTAGATCCGTTTGGAATCTGACCCAATTACTCCTGAAACGTAGATCATAAATTGTGCATTTTACGGCTGAAAAACATACATTATCCGCATCTATTTTAAATCATTTTAAGAGAAACTTATGCAATAGCAACATTAGAAAATACAATAAATTAGCAAAATTAAGAAATTATGTTGGTTTGGGACTATAGTTGCTGCTCTATTTTGCATTAAAATTAACCACAGTTATTTAAAGAAGCCATTTCTCAAAGTAAAAAGACAATAACGCGAGCAACTAACCAGTAAAGCAAACGTTACAAAAATTGAACCGAAAGACACTTCAAAAGATAAATTCGCATAAGAATTTTTAGTGCAGTTTTTTAGCAGCACCTTGCCAAGAAAAAAGGTTCCTGTAATTAAATGGCCCGAAAATTATAATTAAAGATAACGTGAAGAATTTCAGCCAAAAGTCAGCGAAGTAAACAAGTACCTTAAACACTTCCATTTTCCTTTTCCGGCAATTAACCACTTGAACACTGATTAGTCTTTCCAATAGAAATTGATCGGCCGTGCCGCTAATTAAGAGTAAAAGTACTTTCCAATTTCCGTTTTTGATTTCGTACCGGTAAAACTGCACAACACGCGGCTGCTCTTCTACTCGACTGTTGATGTGTGTTTGAATGTTCTTCTGTTGATACCACTCTGTGTACTTTCCACTTGCTGTCTGATGGTCCTACCTCGTCGTCGATGACGGCCTACTTTTTAATTGTAATTTTTTTACCAATTATATTGTTTAATTTACCACCAGCTTTTTCCCCGAACGGAGACCTATGCAGAGATGGTGTTTGCAAAAGATTCAGTTCAATTTGCCTCGATGTAAAATACACAGCAGTTAGCATCGTCAACTACACTACAAGTTCGTGCAACATTTGCTCAATGAATACAATGTACCTGCAATTATCCAAATAATTCATAAAAATTGTAATCATGGCATTCAACAGCGATAGAAAGTTTCGAAAGTACCAAAACGTTTCCGTTGCAAACCAGTGTTTACTTTTTTATTACCGAAGAAAAGTAAAATCTGACAATTTCTACTTTTGTTCACTCGACAACGGAATTAATTGTAGAACGAAATGGAAACTGAATGTAGCATCGTTTGTTCTTGTGCAGAGGCGTTGCTGGACAATAATAATTGCTAATTGCCACAAGCAAGCCATCTAAAAATATCGTTGGTGCGCTTGAGAACAATGCCAGAGGATTGGTCCTTAAAGTTCACAGATAACTTTCATGGTAAATCATCTGTTGATTAGTATTCAGCACCATGTGCGGCTAGTTAATAATGGACGATGCATGATTTGTCTTTATGATATTAAATAGAAAGCGATACTTATCGGGGAGTGTTTAATCAGCCGTGTAAATTGTGTAAACATGGATGGATAATGATGGAAAAAATTAGTCTAATTTAGGAAAGCCAAGTTTCGCTTAAATATGTTTTAAATATTTCACTTTCAAGGGACAAAACGCCTAAATATCACGAACTACCTGCCACTTTAGATTAGTTGTCTCAACAATTAGAATTGTTTATTTCTTCACTAATTTATCATTTCTGAATTTACCATTATTATTAGACCATAATCCAGATTACTTGAGAATATTAAATTTGGGAAAAATAACGAAGAATTTCCATTTTAGAAATTATTAAACTTATGTGAATACCGATTGGTAAGAAGCCTAAAACTTAAGACAATTGTCACAAAAACGTTCATTCACAAGACATAAATATACGTTAAGTTTGAACAATAAATAAAAGCCTTATTTTTAACAAACTTCAAGCTACAATTGTTTTCTTTAGTCTACAAGTGGCATGTGGCCAAGGGCGGATCCAGAGGGGGAGTCATTGGGCTTCGTGCTGGATTTACATAGACTAATGATATTTTTTCTCATTTCATATATAATTTAAGAAAATAAATACTGTGTATGAGGCTAACACCAACGCCAATGACACCCATATTATGAATATTTAGCTGTTATTATACTTCTATGGCGCATCAGATCCTTCAGTATGAATAAATTAATAACTCTTTTAATACGGGCCGATTTGGATCATTGAAAGTTCGTTCGAAAGCTAGCGATTTTGTTTAAAAATCGTATTTTGCAAACTTGAAATCAGTTGAGAATCTCGAAAGTCATAAGAGTGTGAAGGTCGACAAGGACAATTTTTCAAGACACATTTTATCAATATTTTCGTTGTGGATTTAAGGTCGCATTTTTTTGTAAAAACAGCTTTCTGTATTTAGTAGAAATTTTCTGCAAAATTGGTAATACCGGACCAATTTAGAAATTTGTTTAAAAACGTACGATTTTCTATAAAAACCGCATTTCGGAAAATTTCAATCGGTTGGAAACTTGGAAGTTAAAATTATTTTAAGGTCAAAAAGACGATTTCCCGGACAATATACTTTGGTCTTTTTACCTCAATTAACTCATTTTCAAAATAGAACATCAGATTGTTTGCAAAGTATATTCTCGACACATTCACTGTCTATAAGAAAATTTGTATTTGCAACAGTTTGGAACGAAATACGCTCTCAATATTGGCAAGCGCAAAATTCTCAAACTTGCACATACTTACACTCTTTACCCTGTAACTCGGTCAGTTATCAACATTTTGCAGAAATTCAAAAACTGTTAAAAAGCCTATAGACTTGACGTAAATAGTTGGTTCAGGATCAAAGTTCATTTTGGTCACCGTTTCAGCGGCAGAGGTGTTTAAATTGTTCCTCGAAACACGCTCTTTTGCTCCAAATTTGGAGGCGCCCAAAGATTTTTTAAGCCCCAAAATTTATTTTTCGGAGCAAGTCAATGGTTGCGAAATTGCAGTTTCATTTAATTTTGAATTAAAAATTTTATTCAATGTTGGAAATTTTCTAATTTTGCAAAAATATCAAATGCGCAGATTTTTCACTTAGGACTGGAATTTACGAAACGTCAGGAAAAACGGTAATTTGCGATGGCCTAAAAACCCGACAACCCGCCAGTTTGCAGCAATGGCCAGTGAAGGTTTATTCATAGATAAAGACAGGTTTATTACTCTGTAATCCTGTCTCGATTTTTCAATCGCCCTTAATGGTCTTGCAGTTACTTAAGACATTGATGGACATTTCATTCAGTTGCATGTTAATAGTGAGAATAACCCAGAAATCGGCGTACATTCAACATTCGTCTACCTGTCGGTAGAAAGTGGTCACACACGTCTAAATAAAAATATTAAATCTGTACAGTGAAGGCGCATTAATACCAGCCGAACCACTTTCTTCAGCACATTCCATTCGGCTGCATCTTCCAGCTGACAAATATGACTAATTTCATTGATTCGAGCCCATAAATGAGCAATTTTGCAGTTTTCTCAGACTTTTTTCATATGGGGGAATGTTCCTGCTTAAGACGCCTTCAAACGTCCTGTATATCTAGGACAAGGCCTGTATTCATGAATGCAAGAACAATGAATCTATCTGGAAAATGCGCACTATTGATGGCACCCATATAGGAAAATCGTGAGAATCTCGGGTCTTTGTCAATGCACGATCGGTTTAAGGTTTGTTCAATATCGGAAAGATCATAAGTTTTCTAGCAAAAACGACAAACAATAAGCCAGATAATTTCATTGTTTGAGCCGGAAATGTTTCTACATAACTGATCTGACTTGGGGGCGATTGAATATGCCCAGAAATAGTCAAGCATGTGCACTAACAAAATAAACAAGCTAAATGCTAGTTTTTTATGTTAATTTGTAAACAACAATATATAAATCAAAAAGTTAATTTGGCTCCCTTATCAGCTTCATTCAGTTTATTCGCTTCTTTTTAAAATAATTTTTGCATATTTTCTATTGTCCAAGCGTGTCAACATTTTCAAACATTTACATAATCCATCCAGTTCCAGATAGAAACACCACAATGCGGGTGAGTGAAAAATTAAACTCATGGATAATTTTAAAGAAAAATCAACTTTTTAAACACAAGATTATCTTTATTATCAATAAAACCAATGTGCATGCAATAACTTACTTAAGCTGTAACTGAGTACAAAGAATCTGGTACAAAGTGCAGCAAATTCTTAATTATTCAATTAAACAATTGGTTATTAATTAATTTATTGAACTTAATTGGTTTCGCTTATGGGGGATTATTAATAAAATCGCACGATATCAGGTTGCAGTCTTCATGGCGAACAGCGTCGAACACTTTCTTGAGATCTTCCGCCCGGTTCTTGTAGTCTTTGTCTCTGAAAAAATATTTAAATTCCAATATATTATTACGTACAGAACACTCAAAACAAAACAAAATTCAGAGTAAAAGTATTATTTTTTTAATACAGTTATTTTTGCATGTATATTTCTGGATAAAATTAAATTATCTTTAATTGCCCTTTTCAATACTTTAATCATTTTCAAATGAAATATAGCTTCATTCTTGTTGGCTTTTAATTGTTTTTAGTTGTAATTTTTAAACATGTGTATATTCAGCTAACTTTGTGCAAGCTTTTATATTACCGGCCACTCTCCAATACAAATGATGGATACAAAAATAGCAAATTGATACCAAATAAATATTTATCAATGATTTCATCCAGAAAGGTTCACGTGACTTGATTAAATTAATAAATAAATATAAAATTATTACAAATGTAATAAATCGTTCTAACGCTCTTTAATTTGTTTTCTTTAAATTTTGTTTATAACATTAATCAAGCTGGAAGAAAAGCTGATTTATTGGTACATCGAAGGCATACATACTTTTAATTTTTCGAATATTTATTTTCATCTTGTTGCTTTTCTTTGGAAGATGTAGTTTAAAGGTATTCAAAAAAGTACCAGTTAAACATATTTTTTTAAATCCGTTTATAATTTTTCCCTCTTCAACACTTATTTAATTTAACGGATATAATTTTCAGATACTTAATGCTCGATTGAAATTCAATTTATGTTTTTTCTAAGTTTCAACTTATCATTTATGATCCTTGGCACTTTTTCCCTGTGCAATTATCTTAGTTGGTTTACATTGGCAATCGTCTGAAAATTAATTTTTTCAGAGCAACTTATTTTATACAGAAAGGTAAAAGTAAGCAAAATTATTATAAATATAGTATCGCATTCGAGTTATTTTCGTCTTTAATTTGTCGTCGTAATTTGACCATATCTGTATTGCGCTTTGCTGAGCGTGCAATTTATATCAAAATTACCTCAAAAATGGTACCTTTTTAATGGAAAAACCCACATGCGCTTTTTCAATTATCGAGACTTACTGGGTGGCCAAATTATCGAACAGATTCTGCACATGTTGCTCAGAATTGGGCATCTGCCTAGCAGTGAGTAGAAGTTCGCAGAACACTCGGTATTCGCAACCATTTTCATTCAGTTTGTCGAAATAGTCGAGGGAAGACAAAATTTGACTGTGAAGCTCCCTTTTGGTAGCATCATTGGTTCGGTACCGTGATGATTGACTGAAATTCATTAAAACAATACGAAACTTATAACAATTAAAAGCGTAGTTCAAGGCACAATGATTGCACTTGAACTGGCCGGCTGGATTTCCAGATCTGATTCGTCTTGACTGATATTTCGGATGGTTTCAAGATGAAAGCACATGAAGAATACCAACTGTAATTTCTCAAATTGCGTGTATTTTAATAGATACATTTCATAATTTGAAAAAAACCGCGACTAGCCATAATTGAGGTTGACTTCATTAAAACTTGCTTTCGCATATTAGCTGGAGACTTCAATTGAAGATTTCACGTACAGGACTTATTCAAAAGTATCATAAATTGGAAAAAAGTTTTTTTTGAAGGAGAAAGTTCAATTAAGTCAATAAGAAAAAAAGAAAAAATATTATCTTCAAGGTACTTCAGTCAATTCCCAATATTTTCTGCTTTTGTCTTACGCGCATTCAACTAGTTCTTTTAACTGAACTCAGAAATCTCCTTACTTAAACAAAAATTGTGTAAGTAAAATGCTTTCCACACTCACACATTGCTGGTATCATTCACATTGGTTACAGTCAATACGGTAGGAGTCAGGGCACTTATCAGCAAGCCAATGGGAATAAAAGTGGCCAAAAGTTTTAAAATCTTCTTCCAGGAACTGGACATTCCATATCCTCCTTCTTGGGAATGTTCGTGGAGTCCATAGGAGGGCTTCTCCATCAGATTATAATCGCTTTCAAAAGTTTTCTGGGTTTGATGGGGATAGTATGAACCAAAATTGCTTTTTGGGACCTGAAAGTTTCGTTGCTCGAATGTTGTTTAGAGCAGGTTTCACCTGGTTGGACTTACTTCTACCAGTTTATTGAAGTCAAACCTGCCACTGTTAGATCCAGCTGAAGAAAATTGGTGTCTCGATTCTTCGTTACCAGTGGAGGAAAAATGAGCTGGATATGGGACTTCGTTTCTAACAGCGTAAAGAGAATCAGGTCTGCTTACTCTCCCCAAGTTTCTGCTGGGGAAATTGATCGCGTTTTGTTCTACCGGACTATATGGACTGATTACAATTGACTGTGGACGCTCTGATGGAAATCTCACGCGGCTTACCCAGGGAGTGTCCCTAAAAATTCCCATTGTGTTCTAAAGGCAGAAAAGATGGGATATGAACATATTTACTCCTGGATGAGGTTTTTGGTCACCCAGGGCGAAGCATCGTTTTCTTTACTTTCGGCATTATTGGATTTTGAGGGTGGGTAACTTTGCTTAAAGCTACTGAAACCTGTGGTAGGAGCAAAAGAGTTGAAAGTGCCCGGTTTATCATTTTCTGCTTGTAGGGTGTCTCTTCGACTGGATAGGTCTCGACCTAAAATGATTTATAGCATGGGCTAAGAACAATTATTTTTACTAACTTCACTAAATTGATTTAGAAAACCGACACCAAAATGAGATTGATTTCCTTTCCAGAGTACAGTGTGACTAAGCAATTAATAATGACGCACTTTGATGGAAAATCGAATTGGCTTTAAAGATACTGGGTGTCAAAATAAGTTTCTTGATCATAAGTCGCTTTCATTTGATGTTTTTCTTGCAATCGCGAAATAAGTTTTTTTCCAATGTCTTTATATTGCAAATTTTATAAAAAGTTAGATAAACTTTGATAGGCAAGTAAAAATTAGCCCTGCAAGCTTGAACGACATGTTGAAAGATCTACATATTTTCCTGAGTGAGGGGTTAATTATAATGTTTAAAAAATCGCACTGCTTCGAAATGGAATTATTCTATTTGATTATTATGTCAATTATTCTGTTTAACAGTATAACTTGAAGATGAAGAACACTGCTTACCTTCAGTTCCTCCCGACGTAACCGCCCCATATCTGGGAATCGTTTTAGCCTCTGGATGGGCGGGTTTTACTGGAGTTTTGTTGTATTCAAAATAGGTTTCCAATTGTGGACTTGGCCGGAAGTTATCCAGCTTCTGACTCGCCTTAATGCTGCTGTTTGGCTTATTAAATTCGACCAGGTTTTCTCGCTTTTCCACCAACGGTTCTAGTTAAAATTTTCAATTTTACACTTTCAACAGACAATGGAATTTGAAAGTTCAATTTTTTGTTTAATATGTTGCCTAAGAATCACTAACGGATCATTTTTGAAATTCTCATGCGAACATGGATTGAAAGCAAAATTCCCAGTTTTCTGGTATTGCATTTTTTACAATCTGAGTCGTTTCACATGGTTCATCTGAGTTGGTTTCAGCTCAAAAACTTCTAGTGCAAATTTTACTGTATGCATTCCTTCTACAGATCTTCGACAATTTTCTCCTTACCCGAATTGGAAAAGTTTGTAACTGTCGACACTTTACTGAAGCGGTCATGGGCAAATTCTGAACCATTCACCGTTGAATCGGCATCAGAAACTGAAATACTTGCACTAAGATTTCGGGTGAAAGAAGCACCACTACCAACAATATCATAATCAGTTTGGTTCTGAGCAGTTTCATTGTGATTCTGGGCTACCAGGCTCTCAAAAATTGAACAAACAGCTAAAACACTCCACACGGCCCACATGGTTCTTCGGCCTTTTTCAACTTAAAGCGTGACAATTCCATTTGGGAACATCTTTATAAGCTCTGAGTTACAATATATCCGCTTGGAACAATGGAAAATTTGTCGAATTATTACGTGGCATGGAGTAACACGAATTTTCCCTATTGTATTTATTTATGGTCCGTGGACATTTGTATATCATGCTCTAAAAACTAAACGCATCTATTACTGCCGCCTGAACTTTCATGTTCATAATAAGCCGATGTGTGCTTTCGTGTATAAATCGTTTGTCTAAAATACAAATTCTACATTTATTTTAAATGTATTTGCTGCTCATATTAATGCATTTATTGAGTTTCCCATACAACTAGCACATAAAAATTGTTTTCCAATTATCGTTTAAAAGCAAAAGTGGGAGCGTTTAACATCAATGTTCACTTCACTAGTTAAAAGCGTCCAAAATACTGCAGATTTTTTGGAAAAGACATAAAAGAAATAATTTATAATTCGCATTATCCATAGATAGGTGTGTGCTAAATTTAATAAAACTTGAAACAAAAATTAATTTTAACGAAGCTCTAAGACATATTTGGTGTGAATGATACAGGCTGTTTCTTAATGATACGCTAATATTAAAAAGGACGCTCTGCGGGCGCTGTTATGAAAACAATCATATGATCGTATACCGAAAACATTATAAATTTCCCGATGAAGATTGTTAGTTTTATTATTTTTTTTAATTGTGACTGGAACTATCGTAGATATATTTATGAACTTTAATTTTACACCAGCAACTTAATTAGTTTTTGTTGTGCTTGATTGTTCAATGAGAAACTCTTAAATTTTGGAACAATATCCAAGTGTAAAGTCGATTACAGTCCAGAAGTTTGTACTGTAATAACAATCATAATTTTTCTAATCAACTAACGCGAATAATTTGCTTATTGTATTGGCTCTACTTGGAAGCTATTTTATTTACTCTAACAAGAACACCCTGTATATGAATAAAACATTGAAGCATCCCCTAGCATGCTGCTGCCCTCTAGCAACTAAAAGCCAACTTGCATTCGCTTGGTAAAACGAACACTGTAGACCTACTGTCCAGAAGCTCTAAAAACACAGCAAACCCGGAATTATTAATTAATCCAGTCACTGCTGAATCTTCAAATTTTCTTCATCTTTGATTTGCACCCTCTTAATAAAAGATGCAGCCCAATTTAAGCCATAGAGGCCTCCACATAACCAATTAAAAGTCAAAATACTCAATATTCAAACTGGGCTGTCAACAAAATTAAAGCCCAGGAACATTGTCAACAAATATCCATATTTTCAACTTTACAGCGAATTTAATCAAATCATGGTAAGTTTCATGCTGTTAAATTGATATCTCGGTACAATTTGATCAATTCCAGTCACATTCACAATCTGGTGTGCTCAAGAAAACGGCGGCGCCCCCCCGAAAAAAATCGGGCCCCAAATTCGAGCTCAGTGAAGATCAGAAGAACGATATCAAAGAGGCGTTTGATCTGTTCGATACAACAGGCAGTGGTAAAATTGATTCAAAAGACCTGAAGGTTGCCATTCGGGCGCTTGGTTTTGAGCCCAAAAAGGTAACACCCGGTAACACTAAAGCGATTAGACAACCTGCACTGTTAATTTAGGAGGAAATTAAAAAGATGATTGCCGACATTGATAAAGGGGGTACCGGCAAAATATCATACGAGGACTTTTTGGAGCTGATGTCAATTAAAATGGCTGAAAAAGACTCGCGGGAGGAAATCCTCAAAGCGTTTAGGTAATGTTCTCAGGGCAGCTAAACTCGAGCCCCAAAAGCCTGGGCTGTTGTAGATTATTCGATGACGACGAAACTGGCAAAATCAGTTTCAAGAATCTGAAAAGAGTGGCCAGTGAACTAGGGGAAAACTTGACCGATGAAGAGCTTCAAGAAATGATTGATGAAGCGGACAGGGATGGAGATGGCGAAATCAGTCAGGATGAGTTTCTAAGGATTATGAAGAAGACTAGTTTGTATTGAATTATGCCTTAGGGCATAGGTATTATTTTCTATGGTTTTTTACCTGTTTTCGTGTGTGATCTCTACGTTAGTTTAAGCCGTAGGAACTCAGTTTGCATTCGGTTTGCCACGATATATTCACCGATTTTTGATACACTTAATATATTTTTTACAAAAATAACTTTGTCGCCCCGTACAATCACTATAAAAGCCCCTTTGTAATATTTTAAACTTAACTAAAGTTGAAGTATCTGGCTGTCTACAAATATGTGTTCAATATATCACAATGGTTTTGTCTATATATTTTTTAGTCAGATGAAAAAAATGGCAAGCTATTAGCAGCAGATCTCTTCTGAACCTTCACGCTCCCATTGGGCATCCCGAAATAGGCCTCCTGAGCCATTTGGATGAATAATCCGGTCTCTACCACTCCAGGGATCAGTGCCAGTTCCTGGTTAACGTTTTTCCATTCTAAGGTTTGGTCGAAATTTGTCCAATCGAGGATAAAATTGCCATTATCAGTTACAACAGGGCCTGCCTTATTCACCGCCATTCGCAGCATAAATTGCCCTTGATACTTTGCTTCAAGGCGAGTTTTTATTGGGAAGTAAGCCATGGGGGCCACTTCGATTGGAATGCCTTTCTTGTACTGTTCACCTGCAATTCAACGTAAGAGTTTAGTGGTTTGTCTGTTTTAGGTGAAATTTCCAGGGCTGATTGATTACCTAGTTGAGAGCTGTTTTTTGTGTAGTCTGCTATGATTATCAGCTTGCGAGCGCAGCTGGCCACAATTTTCTCCTGCAGCAAGCATCCACCTCCCCCTTTGATAAGATCAAGGTTAGAATCGACTTCATCAGCACCATCAATGCAAACGTCCAAGTTGGGGGTCACGTCCAGATCCGTAAGGGTTAACTGGTTTTGGACCACCAATTGCCTTGCCTGGAAGGATGTGGGCACACACGAAACCACCACTTTTTCAGTTGCAACTCTCTGAGCCAGGCGCTCTACAGCATAGATCACTGTAGAGCCACTTCCTATGCCCACTATATAACCGGACTTGATATGTTGATCTACAGCTTGATAGGCTGCCAATCTCTTCGCTGCTTCTAGACTAGTCATGCTGGCTTGCGATAGTAGAGTGGAAAATGTCGCGATATTGAATTTTGCGATAAGGGGGCATGTTTTTGAAATGAACGGTCGCATTTTGGTGACAGTGACAGCATTGCCAGCGTTGTGAAAATAGTGCGAGAGTGATTGGAAATCAACCAGAAAACCATAATAAAATGTCCCATGTAATTACGGAAAAAATCGAGGTGGTTTTCTAAAATTATCTGCAATTATTTGGGTAGACAAGGAAAAGAACCAAGTTTGATATGAGCTCACTATTTCAATTTACACGGCAAGAACAAAGACAGAGTATACGAATGGGGACATATCAAGCAGAGATGTAGTGCCTACCAGACGATTGCTGTGTTTTACTGAACTCGACTTACTAAGGTTACTAAGGAGAGGGCAAGAGATGCCAGCTGCAAATTTGCTGATGCCAATAAGAGATGGAAATTATAGTGCTTTTATTCACTTTTTAATTTTATTTTAACATCTTTTTGTAGGGAGGTGGAGTGGAAGTTAACATTTGAAATTAAATTAAATTACTTAAATTTATGGCTTAACTAGCTTCAGCTATTTAATATTTCTAGTTGGCTCATGCCCGGCTCAATTTTTAAAAAATTCTTGAATAGATATAGCTTTAAAATCCAGTCTGCTAAAGAGAAATTGATTAAGGCCCTGGGACTAAAATCAATAAAAAATATAAAATCCCCACAAACTTATAGATTTCTGTTTCAGGCGTCCAATAGATGTCTGTGGTGTCGCCACAAGGAAAATTATCGAATGTGCTGTTCGTGTGTCATCGCCGCTAGCATCCGCAACGTGATTGGCCACGAGCTAGCCCGATCAGGTCAATGTCTGAGCATCGAAAAATTACTGGGAAGGTGAAGCCCGATGTGAGTGAAAAAATGGTTTAACCAGAAAATTGACGTGGTGAAATGAATTGTTCGGATGTTGTAATATTGTAGAAAATCGTCGTTTGTGAATAGAGTGTGCGGTCTGAACGAAATATCGAAGCAAGTCGTAATACACGAACGTTGAATAGAACGAAAGTGGTTCCAAAGGGAAATGTGATAGGTGTATGGGATATCAAAGACTTTAGTGCTTAGGAAGAATGAGTGGACGACCAAGAACAACGTCATTCGCCGAGGGCAATAAACAGCCATTGAATCCCCCTTTGGGAGGCATGAAAATCAGCAGTAAGTACCTTCACAAGTTACGTCTCGACTTATCTCTCCTGCCTGTGCGCACCAACATGGCCGCCCCTGTCAAAAATTCTATCAAGTTCATTTGTTTCTTGCAGCAGGAGGCTGCCCCCAATAATACCACCCTATAATTCACTCTACAGTGTCTTTACTTTGCACCCATCAACCCTTTTACAGGAATTTCCGAATTCCCTCACGACCTGCACCTGCGGTCCTTCATTCTACCCCTAATTGAACCTGTTCAGATCTATTTCAAGTCCATTTCGTCATTAGTTGTATTGTCGCCGACTCCTATAGTTGATTTTGCATGTGTTCCATTTGCTTCCACCAGTTTTCATCCATGGAAGCCCAACCAGTCCATTAAACTGCATCATTTCTTATGCTCTAATTTTTAAGTAGGCCACTCCCAACTGAAGACCATTGTAGCTGCAGCTTTTGGCTTTCGAGCCTCCAAAAGGCCACAAAGGCATTGAAAAGAGCCTTTAAAGGTTTGAATTTTTGTTATCGATGCATCGAGCTCTGCGGCTTCTTGATAACGCAGATAACATCAGCATAATGCATGTGTTTGTTGGGTAAACACCTATACACTGTGTCCAAGACAAGGCCACAATGGGCATTTTGGAAAATCAGTAAATGTTGAGCAATTAAAAGACTAATAAAATAGTGTTTTCGAATTTTCGTTTTTGAGTTTAATTTTCCAATTTTTCGACTACACTTTTTTGTAGTAGCTAAAAGTCATCATCAAACCGTTAATGAATTTTGGACATTTGGCACTTTTTTGTGCGATTTTTCGTTTGTGCACCATGCTCATCTGCAGCACATTTCTCAAGAACCATTTGAGGCATCAAAATACGATCTTCCGTAGTTTATAGGAGAATATAGCTTCAATTGACTTGTGCAAATTTGATTCCATTGGAGCAAGTGGTTCCTTCATAATCAATTTTAGAATATTGATACTTTTTTGGGCGGTTTTTCTTTTGTGCTGTATGCTTTTCTAAACCACGTTTCTCAAGAACCACTCCAGGCAGTGAAATACGGTCCTCAGCAATTTATAGGTGATGCTTTAATTTACTTGTCGTGTAAGTTGGTTCAATTTCAACACGTGGTTCGTTTATAATTAGGTTTGGAAATGTTGAAGTTTTTTGCCCGGTGTTTTGTTTGTAGTCGAGACGTTTGTGAAGATCCATTTGAGGCACCTGAATTGAGATCGTAACAGTTGAGAGAAAAAGCATCGATTGACGTGTGACCATTGTGTCCAGAAGAAATCTTTAACTATGTGTTTTTTGGTACGGCCCTGATCGTTCATTAGCAAATTTAAAAAGTTGATTTCCTTCTGAATTCAACGATGTAAGTTCTAAGCATTTCTGGCATCACTGTACGTACAATAAAAAGATGCTCAGGTAAGTAATCTACGGAATGCTTTTTCAGTTGCAAAAGTTAGCTCAAATGAATTTCTTCATTATATACTCCCACAAAAATGATTAATTTTCAGGGTAATTCAGCATGAGGAAGTTTTAGATTTTGCTAACGAACTGAACATTAATTATGGTTTATTGAAAACGAAACGTGCAAGCAACACCCAATCATGTCTTCACTTGAAATAGCTGTGGGAAAAAAGGCGATTTTACTCGATCTTTGAAGTTAACTAAAAAAACACGTGTTAACCAACTTGGAATCATTAACGAAATCTGCATACTGGCCCGTCTTATCTTGAAATTTTCATGTGCAGAAGACCAGTTGTCATTAAGAATCAAATTTCCTGCAAATCAGTGACATGCTAGAAAACCGCCGAGTTTTGAACATTCAGTTGCATTATTAGGTCAGATGTTTGCAGGCAGAGACGTCGCTCCATGATTTCGTGCCACTTCACTGTCCCAATTTTTAAGTTTGTTTTTGGAATGAGGGACAAACGATCATTGTTTTTGCTCGAATAGTTGGTATGCACAGATCAAGCCAGTTTGGAGCCTAATAAAGAAAATATAGATGCAGGATGAATTTTCTATTTTGCAAGCGAAAATGTGAAGAGTTCTAGTGAAAATGGTGGTACCGAGAGTAGAGTTCAATATACCCAAAAAAGGACGGAAAGGGTGAAGGTCTGTAACGCAGTACTTTGCCTTTGAATAAACTTTTAATCTACAGTGTTCCACATACATCGAAACAAAAGCTACATTTTTCTTTGTATGTGTTTAATTTCTGCTAATAGTGCATGCCATGTTATTTGTTTAAATACACAATTTAGAAAACATAGATGAATGAAAAAGGATTTACATTTCGAAATTCTATAATTTTTGTCCAAAATTCTAGTCCAAGTCAATTGAATTCTCTATGAATTAAAACATCTTGCGACTCTTTTAAGAGAATTTTTTTCGTGCCTAAATCAATAGATATATAATGGTAAATACGAGGCAATGTGCCAACAAAAATTTGCAAATTTATATAGGATAGTTAAAATTCCTTAGGGTCTTCTGCATGTTTTAACTCCATTACGGAAAGTTTGCAGAAGTAGACAAAATTTAATCACCCTGTATATTTTCAAAAAATTACAATACTCTACTGTTCCGAATTAACTTAAATTTTTAATGTAAAATTATATATCGTGCATACAAATTAAATCGTGTACAAGCCTAACACACTCTTTTAGTCTAATGTTAAAGTCGCCATTCTATCAAAAAACGTTCAGCAATTGGCGATGAAAACCATTAGTACATTAAAATAATCACTAAATCTTAAACAAAACCCCTTGTATATGTGATATTAAAGCCGGTTAAATAGTTTCATGTATATTTTGAATGACAACAGCCAATGTCTGTTGCGATCATAAACCGTTTTATGACCTCTTTATATATCGTTTTATGGCAACTAGAAATGAGGTAGTTATTCAATAGTTTCAAAATTTGCCTTTATTAAATGAAAAAAAAGTAATATTTCATCTAGCTGTATAGAAGGTCAGTAAGTTTTTTAGCAAACTAGTTGGGTAGTTTCCAGACCTCGTTTACATCTCATCAATTCAAGTGATCTTTTTGTCAATTGAGGTCAATTGTGACATGGTGTTTTTATTAAGATCGACTTCTGTACAACAAATTACATATTTTTCCAACTTAATCAGAGAGATTTTGTCCAAATGTCCTTACCACACTAATGTAAGTGTGCCTGATCAATTGTGCAGCCATTAACAAGCTTTTTTTGCTTCCACTTTCTGGAACATCGAGCCTTCCACTTAATTAGTTTCACTGTGTTGGATCCATAATACCCGTGTTTACGATTTTCCAATGTTCCTGACATGCCAAAAACTCGTAAATTTTTAATAACTTGCTCGCACTTTGTAGCTGTGTGCCAGTAACCCAAATACAAATCGCGTTGGCTGAAATATATTTTTTTCTCCTCTCACCTTGCCCTTGCCTTGTTAAATGCTACATTAATTAACTCAAATTTCAAGACAACCGTTCGCTTCAATTAATCATGTTGATTTGCTTTAATCGTGGTTTATCTATGGGGACTACTTATCGCAAGATTGGTGACCATAGAGAACATCATTTATCAAAATTTATTCGTCACACTTTGTCTACAGACAATGTGTTTTTATCATTCAGTAAGTTTGTATTTGGATTGTTTCACCTAATTTTACTATTTAATTTACTAGTCCACATGTAACTTGGTTTTCTTGAAAATTGCCTGTTAGCTCAATGCTTAGCTTCAGTTCTTTCTCATGTTTTGTTTGCAACTATCATCCTCCAAACTTTAAACAATTGCATAAACGCATCAGAATATAGCAAAGGGGGTTAATTTTACCAAATTGAAGGGAACTATGGGTTTCAGTGACCAAGTGAATTAAAGTGTTTTTCATATCACCAAATGACTTGCGAAGGAGAAAAAACCTGAAGAGTTTTTCATTGAACTGTATTACGAGTATTATAAATTTGTCGAAGTTCAATGTTCAAAGTCCATTTTGTTCACACATTATTTCATGCATAAACCTGCATAAATCAGCCGAATCGACTACGTTTTAATCGAAAAACAATTAAATTTGAAACGCAGCCTTTGTTCCATGAATCAGGAATATCAGGATTAGATATATTGAAATCAAGCAGCATTGAAATTTTACAATGTTATCGCGACATTTCATTTTGAAAAGCACCAATTTTTGGTGTATTAAAATGCATTTGTTCTAAGAAGCGTAAAAATGCGATTTGGACTTAGCTTTAGAGACTTTTAGTTTAAGGTTAGCTTTATTTTTTGCTATTTGACTGTCCCTTTTTTTGTTTAAAAGGTTGAACATCTTTACCAGCTTATCTTCGTTAGATGAACTATGTAAAAATAATGCGTTCCAAATGGTAACCTTTAGATTTTTTTAAAAGTTATTCAAACTTTCTCATAAATGCTTTACTAATTACTAATACTATTATTATTAATAATAAATAAATAATCTTTTTTGTGTCATTTGTAAGCGCAGAAAACACTTGATTTTTTTCAAATACTCAACACTTCCGAAGGACTTCTCTGTATACAGAAAATTAAAATTGAGCATAATCGGTATTTAGGAAGCATATTGTTACGGGGTTATTACCCCACATTTTTTGGGAATATGATGGTTGCCTTGAATGGCAAATATGAAAAATATTGAGCAAATTTCAAATATTATTCAACACTTGAAACTGCAGACTAATGAGATTAATCCCTTTTCATTTAAAATTGTGCATTAAGTATCAACGTAGTTAAAAGAGTGCATCTCAATTAACGATTTTTTAAATTCCCATCGAAAAGCGCAGTATTTGTGCCATTTATCGGCTACATTTACTACTGAAAATCACAATTCTCAATTGTTTTGTTATTTATTTAATATAAAAATGAGTGGTATTGGAGAACGCGCCCAGATATCGATCACTGACATCTGCTTAAAGACGCGTAAGAATGCGCTTGTACAATTTTGAGTTAAATTTAGCTTGGCTTTCTTTCTTATTTATGTACTGGCATTTTTACCGGTGTTTTTGATTAAAAAGTTCATCATTTACATTAAATTGTTATCGTTTCAAGAACTCTAAAAAAATTTATATATGTACATACATACAGTCCACACTTTCTGCCTTGAGGAATTGGCCGTATTTATCTTAAGGTTCCCTTGTTATATACCGGGTGACAAGGCTACATGACGAATATCCAAATGAAAATGAAGAGAATATTCTACTAATCCGTGTATTTTATTGCTTTATTTAACAGCTGTTCTTTGTTTTTTTTTAAGTGGATAATCGTGAATCTCTCACTACATATTTTTTGCTGAGAGCGCAGTTTGACGCAAGCATCCATTTTGAGACCGATATTTCCTAAATTGTTGGGGCGCTTTTTATGAAACTTTCAGCAGCTTTAGGGTCAAGTGTCTCCTTCAGATGGGGAAATTTTCAAAGTGCTGCTTGCTTTAGTTTGGATGAATTTTTAAAAGGAGAACGCAGCTATTTTACACGTTCATTTTGAGACCGATGTTTACTAAACTGGCAAAAATCAGAGTTTGGAACAACTTTGTTGAAACTTTTAGTAGCTCCAGAGTCAATTGTTTCATAAGATAGTGAAATTTTGACAATACTACTTGGTTTAGCCTGGAAGATGCGAATTTGATGTGCAGTTTGATCCAGAAGTGCATTGTGAGACCGATATTTATTGAATTTGCAAAAATCAGGATTCATCGCGAATTTTATGAAACTCTCAGAAGATTTATAGTCAGTGTGTTCTTAAGATGGTGAATTTTTCAAAGTGCTGCTTTTGTTGGTTTGGAAGATGCCAATTTGTAAAAGAAAGAGCGCAGTTGGATAGGAATGTTGATTTTTAGACCGATATTTACTCCGAAAAATCAGAATTGCGGCAATTTTTATGAAACTCAGTAGCTTAAGAGCGAAGCGTTATTTTATGAGGGTGACATTTTCTGTCATAGTTTGGAAGATGTAAACTTTTAAAAGTAAGAGGGCGGTTGGATCACGAAATCTATTTTGAGACCGATATTAACTAAACTACCAATTATCAGTAATCCGGCCCTGGCGATTATTATGAAACTTTCTGCACGTTTAGGCTCTAGTATCTTCTTAAGATGGTGAATTTTTCAAAATGCTGCTTTTGTAAGTGAAAAATGCGAGTTTTTTAAAGGGGGAATATTTATTAAACTGATAAAATCAGCATTCCGATCAATTTTTATGCAATTTTCAGCAGATTTAGATTCAAGTGTCTGCTAAAGATGGTGAAAATTTTAAAATGTTGCATTTTTAATTTTGCAAAATCCAATTTTAAAGGATTACGCCGCTCTCTGAATTAACAAGTTATAACTCATCGGTTAATGAGTTACAAGTCATTTATTAAAGCGGATTTAAGTTTTACGAGACCCGAGACTGGAATTTTGACATGTAAAAAAAAAGTCATCAACATTTTTTCTGAGTAACGTTTTACTGCTGTGTTCAAACAACTAAAAAAGTCATCTAGATTTTCCAGTCCAAAGAAAGTCGACGAGTCTTCTTGTAAAAGCGATCTCTTAATTTTTTTTGCATAGAAGATTCAATTTGTCAGTATTTTACAGACAGTGTTGTTTAGAAATATTGACGTAAAAGTGAAGAGACCCCAGTTTCCAAGAGTTTCAAATAAATGATTATAAACTTTCGCTTTTCCAGTTCGGGGAAATATTTTTGGAAAAACCCAGAAATAATTATTAGGGTTTTGTCCATAATTCGAAGCTGCAAAGTTTTCCAAAAATTTTTTCTACGCTGTTAAGGAGCTGAGTGTTCCAATAAAAATTATCTTGTATACTTTTTCACAGAAAATATCCGAAGATTGTCAGTATTTTAAGTAAAACTAAAAAATAATGCGATTTTTGCATAGAAAGAATTGCTTAATAGAAACTTTGTTGTGACTGGAATGACGTGAAAATTTAAGGAACTAAAAATCTTCAGAGCGATGAGGGCCAAATAATTTGTTGTTAACTTTTGCTCTGCTCGTTTCTTCAAGAGATCCTAATTATTTTCGGTTAAAAACGGTTTTTATACCAAATTTGAAACTGAAATGGTGTAATGTTTCCTGTAAACCGATGAATGTGGCGAATTTTTCAGCAAAAGTAATTCTATAATTTTTGTTTGAAAAGACCCCATTATTGTCAGAAAAGAAGGAAACCATTACAAAATAATGTTTTTTGAGTTTTTGATTAAAAACTTAGTTTTGTGATCGGTTTTGGAGAAAATATGGTTTTCGGGAAAGAACGCGAGGAATTTATTTTTGTTTTTGTCCCGAATTCAACGCTGAAAAAAGATTTTGTAAAATGTTTACAAGCTACCTATCTTTTCGAATTTATATTTCTCGCTTAAAAGACCTCCGGATCGTCAGTATTTTCAAAAGTGAAACTACAATAGATATAGAGCGTTTTTGAGAAGAACGTAAAGCAAAAAAAAAATCAGTTAAAACTAAAAAACCACATTTTTTTAACAAACTCTATAGTCTTCAGAGGTATGGAGGTGAGGAGATTTCCAAATAATGTGTTATAAACTTTCGCTTATTCTGTTCGTTTTTTAATCGAAAATTATTTGATTTTTGTTCCAAATCCGAAGTTGGAAAGGGATTTCAAAACTTTTTACAAAGCGACGAAGGATTCGAAATTTTTTTCA